TAATCAGACGGAAGGTTAATAAATTTGTATTGTAATTAACCAGCTGGACTTCTGACTTCTCATTTGAGTCGTAGACGAAAAAATTATAAAATAAGGCAATACAATATTGAAATTTAATAATATAAAACTGTCAATCGTTATATTTGGAGATAGAAGAAAAAACACAATACTAAAAGCTAATTTATAAATTAAAATAGGTCTCTTAAATGGTCGATATTTGATACATTTTCTTTTTTTGTATGGTTTGCTTTTGATAAAAAGCAATACATATAAACAAAACTTAGATATAAATATAAAATTGTGAAATTTAATGCCTCATTTGAAAAATATACAACTATTTTTTTTTCCTTTTTATATTGGGAGTTTTCAGCCCACGAATGAAAAAAAGGTTATTGAAATAATTAAAATAGAAATATGAATCTCCAATTAGAATATTTTAAATTATAACAGATACAAAACAAATAAGTTGCCAATATTGCATAATTAGTTCAAGGCAATCAAAACAACATATTAGCTAAAATAAGTGCTGTCAGGTCATGTCATTTTAACTCGCTACAATTGAGAAGTCATATTGAATATTATGGAAAACCAGGTAAAAAGTAAATGCTTATACCGTGTGGTGCAACTGACCCCTCGTCTAATTAGCAGCACGCACACACATGCAGTCGCACTCACACACCCCCAGGCTGAGTCCTATAACAACAGCTTACAATTTAAGCTAATTACGTGGTGCACGTGAGGCTATGATTTAGCGTTTAGCATTGCAATTAAGCCGACAACTGGACGACGACGGGCAGAGGGGAAAGGGGGAAGGTGGATTCCGGCTCCAGCTAACCTTATCATATCAGGAGCAGCACGCAAAGTAGCTCTAAGTAGAGTGTGTCAAACCATAATGGACAAGGGCGACAATAAAACCGCGAAGAAAACAAATGCCCGGGAATAAAACAAGAGCCAATGCCCGTTGACACGTAGCGAAGGCCAACAGGCTCGTTCAAAAAGTAAAATAAAAATGTAAAAGGCCAAGACCCGAGGATAACCAAAACGCGGATGCGTGTACGGTGGACGTTAGGGGCTTAAGTTATGGGCTAACCACCGCAACGAAACGCTGAACCATGGGGGCGTTGACGAAGAAGTGCAACAATTAAATTTAATTACCAGTGTCATAAATATGCCATGTCATACCCCTACTACTGAGCCCCCGCCACAAACGCAATGCAATTGCCATGGCAAAATAATCAAATAACGTGCAGCCGAGGCCCCAAGAGCGATTCACAGCCGCACGACCGAATGCCAACCAAAAAGCCAGTCAACCAACGTGTAAATTACCACTGCACAAATTAATTATTCAAATGTGCACACTCGAATGGCTAAACAAACGGCGCATCTGTGAGTGTGTGTGGACCTCGGCATTAGCCGGCCGAAAATGCAGCTAACTGGGCCAGTTGCAGCTGCAACGGCAACAGCAGTTCTGCTCCAGCGGCAACTACAACTGCAACAGCAACGGCATCCTAATTAGCCGTAATAAAGCGCCTAAGCATGGATTTCGGTCGAACACAGCCTGGCTAACCGAAATTGCAGAATAATTTCAAGTCCGGCCCAATCCTGTGAAATCAAGCATCAAATTCGTAGTTAATTTGAAGGGAGAGGAAGATAACCTAATTTCCCAGGAATACCTAACCGAGCTTGAACCAAGAAATCTTCTTAAATCAACACAATTTATGGTGGTCAAAAGAAAATCTATTTTTACACATCTTGGAAATTTTTTTATAAAAAAATTATATCTACATTTTATAAAATATTTAAAAGCAGCCAGCACTTAAACCTGCAAGAGGAAAATTAGAGAGAGGGCCTTAAATTATAAAGTACGATATAAAATCTAAGAATCCTGTGTAAGATTAGACGGCTTTTCTCAACTTTTATTTCTCCTAGCAGGACTCCAGCGTCACCATGAGAAAATATTGACAATAAAAGAAATGGTAGCATACTTTTCTGCACCGGTAGCAAAATTAGCCATTAGCAAATCAAAGATTGTGTTTACCCCTCAGTAATTCTCCGAGCGAAGACGTTTTCATATTTTCACTATTTTCACGCTCATTATGCGCCAGGCAACGCTCATTGCCCCGGTTCTTGGCCCTCTTACAGCAATTACCTGAGCTGCTCTGGTGGCTCATTTTTATTTTCCTTCTCGCGCTACGATTGCTGCCACATTTATTTTACTTACTCGCTGCCTTCCACCGATTCTGCTTCTGCTTCAGCTTTTGCTCCTGTTACTGTTTCGGTTTCTTTTTTTTTTTTTTTGCTATTTCAGCTGGCCGCAAACAATGGCGAAGGGCAGGGAAGAGCGTGGCTTGGCGTCATAATGAGCTCAAATTTATTGGGTCATTTGGAAAAATACGAAAAATCTACTGCGGCTATGGACATTCCTTATTTTGCTCTCGCCATTTAGCCAGAAATTTTAACATCAAGCAAACACACACAGGGCAAAATGAAAACGAAAAGGAAAGGGAAAATAAAGAGCACCCGAAATAGTTGCTTATTATGGCATCTAGATTTCGTTCTCCTTTCGTTTATTTTTTTAATTAGTCAATAGTCGGGAAAAACTGTAAACCTTGGAGGGAAAAATAAACTGTGAAATGGGTGAAGTGGAAAATCACCCGAAAGAAAGGTACTTCATATTTATTTGTAAAGTTATATGGCGTGTAAGAGGATTTTAAAAGGATAACATGGAAAAAAAGCAAAATTAGTTAACGTTTAAAGCACAAACACAGTATCTAAAAATAAATCTACTAAAAATATGTATGGCAATGTTATGTGTTATGAAATACTGTATCCCAAAGTGACTAGCTGTTAAGCTCATACTTCCTCACATTTCTGCGCAGTTGAGCTCTTGGCTTAATGACTAAGTAACCAAATATCCCTTCACTAGGAGCTCTATTAATCTCCCATTCGGCAAATACAATTTGTAATTAAATGACAGTAATTAATTATGAATTCCAGTGTGGCGAATGAACTAAAACGTTCAGAGCTCCTGCCAGACTTCACATTTATCAACTGCGATGGCAGGAACAGGAACAGGATAAGGACGAGTTCGAAGGACAGCAGCAGAGTCGGAATCAGGTAATAACCAAGAACCAATCGATGCACGGACAATTGAATTAAAGCCAATTGCAGCCAGTGCGTGCATGGGACTGCCTCGCTTTATTGCTATGAATTATGTTTTGTTGTTATTGGCATAGAGGCCAATATAGCCGACCGACCATATGTATGGGCCCGGACATTCAAAAGGGCCCGAAACATTGGCTAGTTGCCTGTGGTCGCTCCGGTGGATGCTACTATTTACATTATTCCATTATTACGGAATATTTTCATGTGTGCTTGTGCGGTCTTGTTTAATTAGCCAAATTTATGTACGAATGCTTTAAAACAATTACCACAACGACAGCCACGCCCACACGCCCCCATAAACATGAGATATGCGCTTCTAGTTTGCGTTTGGAATTTTGAATAACAATTGGAACTTAATAGAGTTGCCTGTGCTCTTATATTAAATTGCATTTTGTAGGGTACGATGGGGCTGGGGAAATTAATGGCGGTCGGTCAGGCGAGGATCCCGGGCCTCCTGAATAATGGCTGTCGAACCCGACCAACCGATGAATGCAGCTCGATAAATATAAATATGAATGTCTTTAACTATTATGCCATGTGATTGCTGTGGCTTTCGTGTGTCTTTAATTATTTAACCATTATGTGCGTTGACTTATTTATGCCCCGGCGTGCGTGTGTGAGATTGCATGTGTGGTATGTATGTGTTAAATGTATGCTGGGCATTGGCTCCCCGATTTTCTCCGCGGGCGGGTCGAACTTATTTATTGATATGTCTTTCATTTTTAAGCTCCGGCGGCTGCCCGCAGTATTAAACGGAAATTAAAGTTGACGATGTATTGCCTGTGTGAAAAGATACATATACGATATGCATTCGTTTATTTAAAAACCCATTTTCACCACATACATACATTGAAACTGTGTCTTTGACCTCAACCCTTTTTTATTGGAAAATATATTTTGTAACACGGTATATTATTGCGCCCTTTTCGAGGGGAAAAACATGACGGAGTCGAAAAGAAATAAACTCCGAATGTATATCCGATTTATTCCTTGATAGCAAAGAAAACTTTTCACATTTGCAAGAGAAACATTAAAATTGAATCTTTCATTTTTGCAATATTCAATTTATTAAGAAATAAATTGCTCCTGTTTTTTAACGATAGAAAATTATGAGTTTGGATGAATTTTTTTCAAATTTAATTTTGTTAAAGAATCAAAATTCGGAATTCAACCAGCAAAATTGCATACCGCAAAAATTGCTGCGACCATCCATAATTCATACAGATATCAATCGGTTAAGCTCAACTGACATATTATGCGAGTAAACGAACTGTGATTGTCACATCGGGAGCTTTGCATTTTCTTTTGCATTTATGCCATTTCAATCAGATCCGCTCAGTGTTTTTGCAACTGGCGCATAATTGTTTTCTATATAAACTGCACTTTTACAATGTTTTAAACCTTTTGCAATTCGCAATTTGCCACAACCAAAGCCTACGGCAAATGGCAATTTATGGGGTAAAAAAAGATAAACGAGCAACAAATCGAAATAAAATAGAATCCTGGCAAGCAATTGAAGTGAGAAAACGCATCATACATATTTTTAATTAATTGTTAAAAAATACAAACAATAAAGCGGCGACAGCTCATAATAAAATAAAAAAAACAATCGTAAAAATCGCATAGCTTTATTTTATATTAATTATGCAGCTGAATGATTGCAGCGCGGCTATTTAAAATGCAGCAAGAGCAGCGAAACAAAAACAATGCCTGCAATTAAGCTGTGCAATTGCTTTATTTTCCTTAATGCCACTCGTCAACGCTGTGTGATATCTGGATGTGCATATGAATAATTGTATTGAGGACTCCACTTCTCAACAGGTGACGGGACTTACCTCGCTCGAAAACTGGGGGATTGTCCTCGTCGGTTTTGGGTCTTTTAGCCTAACTAAGCACTTTGACCCGATTGTTCGTTTAATTATTTGTTTGCTTGGCTTTATTTATGGCTGTTTTGGCTTGGCACACACCGCATCTATGGCATATATTCGGGATCACTGGGGCACAGGACACACATAGGATATGTCACTTTTATATGCGCACGGATGTGTCGTGGAGTCCTAATTTAAAATGCCGCACAATTTTCAGAGAGCAAATATTTAAATATTTAATATCCAGCGCTGATTGTTTACGTTCGCTGTTCCTGCTGTTGTGGTTGCTGGTATTTTTCACTCTTAATTTAATTAAAAATCTTCGTCTTGCTGACGCTTTTGGTTGTGCTGCGGTTAATCACAATTTATGGCAAGCGCGCGAATGGCGGTGTGCGACTGCTGATGCTAAATTTTTGGCCAGCGGTGTAGGCCCAACGTTATTACGCGAGAGAGCGGCCGATTGGCAAAGCGAGAGAGCGCGCGTGGGTGCCAAAAAAACGTTTACGCGAGAGAAGAAAATCGAATCAGTTTCAGAACCGAAATCCCGAACCGCAATTCTGTTTACCGGTTTAAGAGTTAATACAACAGTTACTCTATTGCCTGTTTTTTAAGAATGATATGATCTCTTGTTTTTCCACCTTTACTTTTTCTTTGCACTGATTATTCTTCGCAGTTTAAGTAGAGTTTTAATTGCTAATATCTCTGATATTATTTCAGAAAATTAAATTTAAGCACATAGAACTATCATGGAGTTGATTTCTCGATTTTTCGGTACTAGACTTGAACTTGTGCAAATTCAGTTTAAACACTTTTATTCCAGGTGGCGGTAGGACGAGAGCACAACCGTCTGATAGCGCGTTTCGAATGGGACTGAAATCCGTAGGATTGGTTCTTCGTAGTTCGCACGAGGACAGCCGAAGTGGCATTCGGCAACCACTCGTTGATTCAACAGTTTGCCGAAGCGAGCCCACCCGAAGGCAGGGGCGTGGGAATAAGGACGGGAAAGGGGGTGCTTACGAGCGACTAGCACAATGTAATTGGTATTACAGCCTCTTCTGCTCGATGTGGTTGTTGCTGTTGCTCTTTTCGTTTGGCGTTCGACAGCCGCAATAAATGTGTGCCACACCAAAAGAGAGAATTTCCCACGTAAAAAGAGGGGTTTTTGTGGCACTTAAGAGAGAATACTGGGTGTGCAGTGGAACCCGAGTAAGGCAAGCAGGTTAAGGGGAACTGTTTTAAGTTTTCTGATTTTAATGGAACATCTTCAAATTCAAAGAAAAGATTACAATAATTCCATTAAACAGCTTATAAAAACTAATAAGAAATTAATATGAAAGTAATATGGATACATAAAACGCTTAAGCGCTTTATTCATTGTGATTGTCATTTATGACCGATTGTTTGCTTAATTTTGGTTAACCTAATTTTAAAAGAGATTTTTCTTCTGAAATCCCCCTAAGGACTTAAAAGCTCAAAGCTTCTTAAAGCTTAACTTTAATTTAAATGGGAAATTTGTTGCAACATGCCCCTAAGTCCTTTATGAAAGGGGACTATTTCTCTTTATTTGATCTCAGTGTTTTAAATAATGTTAAGGTCTTGAACAACAAAAAATTAAGTACATCAGATAAAAAATATATAAAAATAAATCAACAAAACTATACTTAGTTATTATATAAATAACGAGATTTAGGATAAATTGAGAATTTCTGGGAAATTGTTCTATTAGCAGTTACATTTTCTATATATAATTATATGGACACGATTCCATTCAATACAAAAACAAATTTCCAAAGTGATAAATTTAAGCAAAACGTCTTAAGCATTGTATGGTGTAAAAATTAAGGTATTGGTTTGTTCTTAATGTACCACCTCCAGAAATCCAAAAATTGTAAAATTAAGTAAGACGCCCTGCTAATTGACAGCTTTGTGGTGCTCCCTTCTGTGCTGCGGTGTTCTTTGTTATTTATAGTAGTTTGTTTCTCTTGCTGGTCTCGTTCCATTGGCCATTTCTGGCCATTTTGGCCATGGACATGAACTTAGACCCGGTTATGGGCCTCGTCTTCACGCTTCAAGGCCGACACACACTTGAAATGCGCCCTCAATTCATTTTCTTTTCTTACTTACGCTCCTCGAGCCAGTTTATTGTTATTTTGGCCGTTTCTGTTTTTGTTTTCTGGCAAACTTCTTGTACTGCCATCTGCGAAATGAGGCTTACCGCCCACTGGAGTTGCCGTTGCCAATTCCTGTCTCTCTGCCTGTTTATCCAGCAGGACTGGCCGTGGCCAAGGCCCAGTTTGCCAACTGCCCCAAACTATTTGCCATGCCCCGCTCCCATAATGAATATTTATGAAGATTTAAAAAACATTTTCTTCGCGTCTGTTGTTTTATGATTTGCAAGTGTGCCTTTCTTTTTTTTTTCCTTCTGCCAGAGTGCCGTCAGCTCAATGGCGTGCAAAGTTCTCTGTTTTTCGCCCCAGTGACGAGTATGCTGGAATGCCACGGACGGGGACACTGGACACTCGACACTCCAAACTCCACAGTGGCAACAGGACACAGGAACCACATCCAACACACCCCACGGGCGAAATCATTCTAAATACGCATCCTGCCATCACTGCTTTCTCGTTTGTTGTCTCAATCGCTGCAGTGAGGAAAACAATAATATAAGGTATTAAACTCTTTAACAAACGGATTATCAGAAATTTATTTCGGGCATATCATTAACAATTCTCCAATATCAGCTCAATACAAGCTACAATATTTTACAATGTCTAAAACAATATTTGGCATGGTTATACTCTTATAGTATTACCATATAGACTTTTTATAGATTTTAACCTTTCAAAAATATTGGGATAATTTTTTTATATTTTGCATTTATGCTCTTGAAAAAGAAATTGATATGGAATTCTCTCGGCTGTATTATTTCACGAATGTTTTTTGTGCAGTGCACATTGGTTTGCTGCTGCCACTTCTTCTGCTGTTGTTTTCATTTTGTAAATGATTTCATTATGTGCTACAAACGCCCCCATCGATGGCGGGGGTGGTGATGTCCATCGTGATGCTGCTGCCACTGATGGTCAGGGTGGAGTACTGATGGTCCTGCTGAACTGAACTGCGGCGGTGGCGTATACTTGATATTGCCAGTGCCATCAGCGGCAGGAGCAAGGACGAATTTGCGTCCGGCATGGCTCCTTGGTGGGAATTTATTGATAATTTAATTTGACATTTGCGGTCCCTGATTGTCATGATTGTTTTCATTTTAATCTTGTTGTTTTCCTAGCCGCTTCTTTGTTCTTTCCGTTGTTGATTTCATTCCTTTTTTTCGTTTTGTTGTACATTTTTATTTGCTCTTTTATATGCAGTGTGTATACGATTTTTTTTTTACATCGAACCTTTGGCTATTTGCATTTAGGTTTTATGCTCTTGTTTTTCCCACTTTTCAGCGGGTCTCCTCATCATTGGCGGCGGGAGACGTTGGAAAACAATATCGATGGGGCGTGCTAAAGAAATTTACATGCCGTTATGGACCTTTAAAGGATCGCCCCGTTTAACTTTTGTTTGGTGCTTTGTGTTTTGTGACTTTGCCCACGCTTTGTTCAGCTTGGCACACTGCAAATTTGCATGCGAAAACAATGAAATTCATTGGTCCTTGGCTGGCCGGGCTGCTTCGTGTCTTATTGAAATGTCCTTCGTCCTGGCAGGCCTCTCCAAATACCTTGAGCAGCATCAGCAGCATCAGCAGCAGCGCAGCAACGGTAGAATCTACAAAATGTAATGTCCTTAATGACATTGCCAAAGGAATTTTAATTAAACTATTTCCTGCCTGACTTGCTCGTCGGTGCTGTTGGCACTGGGCGTGGCTAAGCAGCTTCAAATGTGCACAAATATTGAAATATTTATGGAACTAGCACAAACACATGAGCTTACACTTGAAAAAAAACAATAGTGATTTTTACAGAATTCTTATTTGTAGTAAAAATAAATTATAAATGTACAACACTTAGTTTCTTCACTATATTTTCATTGCATCCTTGTTGATCTGCACTTTTGAAAAAACATTTGTTAAAAAGAAAGTATTGTGCTTCCTTGAGACTTTTCCGCCGTGCAGCAGCTGCGTCGAGGCATCAGCATACCGAAACGATCCAAGGCAAAACCCAACCCAAATCTGAACCCAATACGTTGACTGCCCTGGCCCGTAATGCAATTTTAATTTCAGCCAGCAGCACAGCAGGCAGGCAAAAGTCACGGGGAGGTCATGTGGCAGGCATCAGCTGTGCAGCAGATTTTGCACCAGCACCAGCGCCACCTCCCCGGGATCCCGGCGCAGAACCTTCAGCTATCCAGAACCAAGACCAGGATGAGGCGAAAAACCGAATGAGCCGCCCCACCACCACCCATCCAGATCCACCTTGTCGCGTTCCGTTTCCGCCAGTGCTGCCATCATTTCCGCTGCTCATTTTTGACTGACTGCTGACAAATTTGTATGTCTTCGCTTTATGTTTTCTTGTTTGTCTTGTTGGCTGATTTGATTGTCGAAATGCCGAGCAATTTCGATTGTCATTGTCTGTTTCGCTGGGATGGAGCAATCAGCATGGTGGAGCAGCCGTCCTGCGCACCTTTAATGCCCTTAAAGAGGTGCCAGAATGGAGCATAAATTTGCGGTAACATAGCCGCAAGTTTTGCGCCACCGAAACTTTGCATCAATATGCAGGAGTTTTCCCCTGTTTCCCGGGAAATGCAGCCATAAGGAAATTTCATTATTACCGCGCTTACACGCTAATGAAGCATGTAAAATGTCAATGTAGTTGTATGTACTCCTTCCCAGTCTTTATGTACACACACCGACACAGACACACACACACACACACTCACCGAAACACCCACACATATGGGCGTTAGAATTTGTGTACGAGTTGGGTTTCTAGTTTTATTGCAAATGTGTGTAATGAATGTAAATTAGTAAAAAGTTTTCGGGCGGCGGAGGCGGCAGAGCCAAGGAAGCGTTTGCCAAAACTATCCTGCGGCTGGCAAGGATCTGCTCCTTGTGCACACACGTATGTGCGTGTGTGTGCGTTATGAATAGCATTCGAATTAGGATGTCGGGCAAGACGAACTGCAGGTGTGTGGTTGTTAATTATGAGCAACTTAGCTACCATTTTATTGGGGCACTCAGAAAAACAAGATTCAAATTGTGTATCACGCAATCCCCAAATATTTTGAGTCATATAAAACTATGTACTTAATACAACTGTATATGATTTCTCATTTACTGAAGCATTAAATTAATAAAGAGGTAAGCTGTCAACCATATTTGAAATCCCTTTTCGCTGTGCAGGACCAAAGGTATTGCGCCAAAAAATAGGAAAAGCAATGACCCTTTAAGCCAATTAGTTGGCTATGCAAATTAGTTGGAGATATTTCGCAAGTTTCCCAACTGTTAATTATCATTTAACTAATAACATTTAATGGCAAACACAACTCTGCACTTTGAGGCATTAGGCGGAGACCAGTAAAAACTTTAAACTTCTTTCGCAAACTGAAAGGCAGAGAGATGGTGGCAACCGACAGCTGCAACTTATTAGATGCGTTGTCTGGTTTATGCAAAACCAAAGGCAACATTGGCCCTTGTCCCTTAGACCAGCAGGACCCCAGTTCAGGATGCAGACCCCCCACTCCCCTTTCCATCCAACCCCGAACCACCTAGTTCCATTTAAAATAAGCAAAGCAAACTAACAAAATTCGTTTATCAACGCCATGCTGTCTGCAGCTCAAGGAAAGTTCAACCAAGGTGCAAAATAATTTGTTGCAATCAGCTTAGCCTGCAAGCCGAGGATGCGATGCCCTTCGCCTGGCCGCCGCCACCCAAAAACGGGTTTGCGTTCCCAGCCGGGCAGGTTTTCAATTTAAGTTGAATTATTATGACCTTAATTAACACGTCGTTTCATCATCAAATGCCGCACTACATCTTATGCTTTTGTTGCAGATATTTCGGCACGGCGCCGGGCATCGGGACCAGGTGGATGATGGCTCCAGGATGCCAGGTCGACGGGATGAGGACGTTGAGCTGCTGATTCGATTTTCTGCAGACATGCACTTTTGCCAGGAAGGTGCTGCAGTAGCATCGGGAGCAGCGGGAGCAGCGGGAGCAGCGGGAGCAGCGGGAGCAGCAGGAGCCCTAATCCCTGCGCCAAGTAACTGTTGCTCCGGTTCGGTCGGTCGGGTCGGTCCGTCGTTCTCTTCTGGGCCTTACTAATTTTGGTTTTAATTAAATTCAAACTATGTTGACGCTCCCGGCCCTGACGACCTCCGACAAACGGCAATCACGTGGGTGATGGCGATGGCCATGATCCCCATGCCGCTCACGCTGAAGACGATGATGACGATGATGATGGGGCTGCTCCATTACTTATGTAGCTAAATTTTATGCACCTCCTAATTGAATGACCGAAATGTAAATTGAAAATGCCCGAACAGCTTAAATGGCTTCGCACTTAAAGAGCCCGGGCACTGCGAACAAATATGACCGGAATGGGCAATTAAAACGTGAAAATTTCTCATTTACCAATGGCTTTTCACCTTTTCAGTTTTGGTAATTTAGGACGGTTCATAGCCATACTCGGTTTCCATTAACATACATTTTAATATTTCATTGTTTCCTTTTTTTTGAGAAAGGCCCTTGTTTCATCTTTCTCAAATAAAATATATTACAAGAACAACTTTTTTTACTGTGTTAGCATACACTCACATAAATCTCGGAATTGGCCAGCAAATGCCGTCATCATCAGATGGCTGCTGCCTTACACTATTTGCCCTGTGATTTCTTTTTAATTTCCCAGCGGTATTTAGGGAAAAAATTTAATAATATCAAATATGAGGACAGCGAAAGAGGTGGTTTGGAGGGCGTCCCGTGGAAACTGGACAAGTGCATGCGTACATGTGCCATGTGTATTTGCGGGCAAACATTCAACAGCGCACAACAATGTGATCTCGCTTTTCCACTTTTCCTCTGCGGTTTTCCCTTTGGGGGTGTGTGTGTGTGGGTATGTCGAGTGTGTGTGTGTGTCTGGACTTCCGCTTGGCTAAATTTGTTTACACTTTTTTTATTTTTTGGCTCGCCGCTGCTGCCCGACTCATAATTTCATTTTGAAATGTTTGCCTAAGCGACAAATTCACTTTTTTTTTCTGTACTTTTCTGTTGTTGTTCACAGCCTGACATATGGCACTAAGCCTGGCCCACATTATTAAAACCAGCGACAAAAGACAACCGAAAGCTGGCAGAATTCTGAAAACGGAAAACCGAGAAATGGGCTCGGACCATTTAACAGACTCCAGGAGGCGATGGCTGAACCCTTGGCAGCACTCAGCACGTGATTTGCATACACTTAAGCAGCCGCCCACCCCAAACATCTGGCCCACACTTAATTACATGCCAAATGAAAAGTTGGGGGAGCAAAAAAAAAATAAGGAAACCAAAAATATAAACAGGAAAAAACAGGAATTAAATGTGCGTTAAATTGCCAATAAACATGGCCTGCATTTCAATGCCAACGAAAAGCGAAAGGGTTTTTAAAGCGAAAGCAATACTCCTTAAGACATTAAAATTTGAAAAGGGGCGGACAACTTTGGTGAACATACATGCAAACACACATTCAAAAATTATCAAATTCCGCTTTTACCTTACCGATTTTTTGATCCCTGATCACGTCAGATCTTTTCAAGACTTTCAAGACACAAAAGTGACCAAAAACAAAAGGGACCATACCTTATAACTTCACCAATTTAATTTCGATTCTAAAGTGGCATACCTCTAAACATTTGTGATGGAATTCCTGAACGATTTGTCTTAAAATTTTTGAAATCGGTGATTTGTTCTAGTTTTCCATAAAATGGAAAAAGAGACCCAAATCAGCACTTTCAAAAGCCTTAACTTCGACAATTTTTACCCGATCTCTAAGTGGCATACCTTTAAACATTTGCTTTGGAATCCCTGAACGAACTGCGTTTACATTTTTCAGATCGGTGATGGTCCATTTTTTGATCCCTGTTCATGTCAGAACTTTTAAGATCCTGATGGTTTGAAAAACGGCACTTCTTGGGACCATGACTTTGCCAATTCTAATCCTATTTCAAAGTGGCACACTTCAAAACGCTTGTTCGGTTCCGTTTGTTTTATATTTAGGTGAAGGTCGATTACCATCATGTCAGATATTTTTATGACCTATTAACAAAAGAGATATTAAGTTTTAAAAAGTGGGCGCTGACTTTTGTGCTGAGAACTTTGCAACATTCTCAGTTCTACTTTCATTCTCAAGACGACAGTCAGGTCTACACAACGAATCAAACCGAAGCAAAATAAAAATAAATTCTGAGCAAAAAACAACAAAAAGGCTATCCTCAACTTATCTTCAGAAAATATAGCTCTCAATTACGAATATGGAGGCCATGCGGAACAAGAACGCTGCGAGGATTAAATATGCTGCTCCTCCGGTAGTGAAGACCGAGTCAACTGTAAGTAAAATGGCTTGGATTGTTACAGATAATCTAATCTAACACTTAGTTGGATGAAAAGTTTACTGAGGATGAGAAAAAGACTATTACCGAGCTGAAGCAGTTATATCTAGAGACAATCAATTTGGACGTTGCACTACAGCGGGACATCTACAACATGGAAAAAAGCTACGAGGAGAAGCATAATCTTATTTTCGAAAAGAGAAAGAAGATACTTGAGTAAGTGACTTCTTTTAGGCCTTGTTTTTGTAAATCGATTTTAAAAAAAACTTCCTCATAAAGTGAGTTCAGGAAACAAAATCACGGTGATTCTCAACCATGTCAAAGTGTTCCTAACTTCTGGTTAAAAGTGCTCAAAGCCTCGTATACAGAGTTTATAAGCAAGAAGGATGAAAAAATATTGGAAGTAAGTAATTGATAAAACGTTGTTTAAATCTTAATATTTTTTTAAATAAAGCTACATTAATTATATTCTCATCTCCACAATTCAAATTATAATAATACCATTTAAAGACCATCTTACTGAACCGATTTCATCATAGTGCTTGTCAGACATTCGTTCACGGCTGTCCAACGATCCGGTGGTCAAGTTCGACATCGAGTTTCACTTTGACCCAAACGATTTCTTCACCAACACAGTTCTGACCAAAACTTACTTCCTCAACTGCCTCCCGGATCCGGAAGACCCACTCTCATACGACGGCGCTGAGATCTACAAGTGCGAGGGTTGCGCCATCGATTGGAAAAATCCCAAGGACCGTGAGAAGAAGGGTAAGCTGTTAAAAGAAATGAGCTAAAAAACCACTTACTAATGGCAAACTCCTTGTCTAGACGATACACTCGAGCAGAGCTCGTTCTTCGACTTTTTCTCACCGCCCAATCTGCCGGACGATGCTGAGGATCCTAGCTACTGCGACATCAACGTAAGATCGAAGTTGTACATTTTCCCGGAGCAATTTTACAATTTTATTTGCATAGGCCATATTGCAAAATGACTTTGAACTCGGTTTTTACCTTAAGGAGCGTGTGATTCCCAAGGCGGTGATCTTCTTCACCGGCGAAATAGCCGATTGCCAGAGCTCTAGCGATTCGGAATCGGATACGGAGGATAGTGACGAATCGGAAGCCGAGGAGGAGGAATCCTCGAACGGCACCGACAAGTAACTTCAATTTCACAGGTGTTTTTACAATTTATAAACATTTTCCACGCCACCAAAACCAATCAATTGGTCTGTCCTTACAAGCCACAAAGCTACCAAATAAGCATTTCATTAAACATATACCAAAAGGATCGCTCGTTTAATGCCTAACTAAAGGAATTGTTTTCTGTATGGTGTTGGGATTCTTGGGTTTATACAATGCATTGAGCCTGGCGTATAGTACAAGGGCTTGATTAGTTTGGAACGTAATACTAGTGGGCTGAGCTACAGCACTCGCTTGTAGCCAGCGTTGTGGGTTAATCGGCTTGGCCATGTCGTCGTACTCTTCTTCGTCTTGCTAAAATATTTATCCAGCACGGCCCGCTTCGACAGAAAAATGTTCACAGTACAACATGATACAAACATTATACTTAAGGAGTGGGGAGAAATCTTCTATGGGAGTACCAGGTGATGAGACGGTGGTGGCGACCCCGGTGGCTGCTGGTCATGTTCCGAGCCTTCGTCGCTCGATATTGTCACAACCTCGGCTTCCTGCTCCAGAGCAACACTCAACGCTACCTTACCCACGATTAAGTGGTCGGCCACCACTTCGCACTCCGGCTTGCTGAATTTGAAGCGACGCAATCCTGGAAGGGTTATACTCGTGCCGCTCACGTCGATGTAGACCAAATTTGGGGAGCACTGCACCAAATGCTCCAAAGCCTGATCCGTTATGAGGTGGTAACTGCGCAAGGACAGTCGCTCCAGTCTGTTGTCCGGCGAACGGTTTATGTGTCGAATCCACACAACATCCTGCTGCACTGGTCGCTGTGCCCGACCAAAGCTATAGATCGCCCGATCGGAGACATAGCATTCAGGTGATGTCGTACAGGTATTTGGGCGGTGGCGCATTCGCCGGCCGCGCTCACGATCCAGCGGATCGAGCATGTTCCAAAACATCGGATGCTGCACAACCTGCTCATACATCGGACGCGGGATCTGACGAAACCTTCGCTGATGCGTCACGTTTCCTGGGTTTGCCGTGGGATTCATGTAGATAACGTGATCGTGACGCGGAAGAAAACGACTGTAGGCGGGATTATTTCGGCTCAACAAATGAGCCGCCTCTATTACGGCCATCAAATCGCGCTGTTGAGGTGGGTTTTCGTTCCCGGGTGGATTTGCTTCAGGCACGTAGATGTAGGCACGTGGCGTGGACGCTGGCCTGGGATCCTGCCCGGGTACATCTTGATTTTCCCCACCAGCTGGCGGGGGGACGGGGCGTGGTGGAACTTCGCCCGACTCCGTTGGCAAAGCAATTACAACAAGAGATGAGCGTACGGGAATATCGCCATTGTGGCCATTGTTGCGCGGCGAAGCAACATCCGATTTGTCTGACGAAGAAGTCGAAGTAGCCGACGGGGAAGAGGTGTCCTCATCATCAGATTCCGACAGGGCTCTATTTCTTTTCGCCTGGAATTCTTGGCTATTCGAAGCTGTCTCTGCTCCCGCCGCCGGCGACTGATCCTCCTCCCTTCTCTCGTTACAGCTGTCCGAGTTGAAAATATCGGCGCTTGCATCCTTAGCCTGCGCGATTTTGCATGCACGCAGGTGCTCCATGGCAGCACGCGATGTGGACGGCTCGTCGTCGTTAAGAACTTTTAGTGAATCCGGCTGCGGGGCAGCAGCCTCGTCAGTAGCATTGCCGTTGTTGGATTTCTCAGCGGAGGTTTGTTCGACTGGCATGTTGGGCGGAGACTCCAGCAGCAACTCCTTAAGGCTCTCGATAGCGCTAAAGCACTGCAGATCCGAGTTGTTAATTGGGGTCAAACGTAGATCTAGTGACTAAAAACATGTCGTTACAAAAAGAATTTGCAAGTTTAAAAAAAAAACTAAACCAACCTCTAATTTTTGAAAACCAAACCGGGCCGCCATGCTGCCGTAGGGCACGAATTTGCACAGCTTCTGACAGCCCTTTAGACTAAGACGTCGCAGGGACGGCAACTTAGAGAGGCCCATAATGTAGTAAGGCTCGAACCAGCTGTTGTCCTCAATGCTGAGATCCTAAAGTACAACGAGTTAAGTGGTCGTCAGGTCAATAGGTTTCTTAATATTTGTACGCACCTCCAGATCCACCAGATGCATATCAATGGTGTGAAATATACTCTTGGTATTATTATTACACACTTTCACGCTGCAATCCTTAAGCTTGAGACGTTTTAGCGAAGCGGGGAACTCGGATATGTTTATCTAAAAGAACACCCAAACATATGTATAATCATATCAAGAATGTTTGTCAATGCCACTCACGTATTCAAAGTGCAAGCTAACACCCTCCAGCTCGAGCACCTTTAGCTGGGTGGCCACTTTGGGAAAGACGGAGCTAAGGGTCATTGTGAACTGACGGAACTCGCCGTCCACATGTTGTGAGGATGGCGGTCCGCAAATTTTTATGGTATGCGTCTTTTCGGTGGCACGTCCGAGAATCTCCTCGAGAATACCCATGGGCAACGGCCCATTGCTGAGATCTATGCGATGATAGAAACGATGATCCAGAAGGAGGCTTTCCAAACGAGGCGAGCAGCTAGAAAAATGATTTGTTTAGTCAAAGTGGAGTGAGATAATTACATGTATAAGGCAAAAAAATCGTTGATAAATGGGAACTGATAGACACTCTAGTATTTGTATGAATAATATTTACTCTACCGCAATGCTAGCGGTTCGAAAAAGTTTTAAAACACAGTAATTTGGGATGCGATAAACACTAGAGATCAGTCATATACAACAGATTTCTGCAACGCAGTTGAAAAGCGGAGGACTCACTGCATCATCGCCATGATGGAGGACGTGTCCAGGTACTTAAAGATCTCAATTAGCAGCTCGTCGCAGAAGTCCAGCAGGTTAAACTCGGAGTCCTGTTCCGAGACGCGATGCTGCTCCTCCTCCTTTTTGCGCTGTTTTATCTGAGGCTCTTCCTCGGCCGGGATCTGTGGCACCGGAGGCTGCTGGGGTGTGGCGGCCGGCTCCCGCCCACTACGCTCGCTGGACGAGAAGCGGCGCTTCGGCGCCGAGAGGCACGCGTTGCCCACTTCGGCCTTGTCCATGGTAGAGACTGCTCCTGCTTGTTATTGCCAAGTTTTACCTGCAGCTTTTTTTCCAGCTAAAATGCAAGTAACCAGTGTGACCGCAGACAGATCACGAGTAAAAACGATGGTAGTGGTGTTCGAGGACGTAAAAAATCCACGCGAAGACTGGTTTTACTAATAGCAGTTTTTTTGGGAACGGGAAATGTTAAGAAATTGAAATAATTCATAAAAAAGTTGTAAGCAGTTAATTTTTAATATTAAAAAATGGGATTTAAAAATCAACCACTACTACAATCAACTAAATTTCTATATCTTAAATTATAATAAAGACATGCAATATATTTATTAACATTTTCAAAATATATTAAGTTATTAAAAAAAAGGTAAATGTTTACAAGTGCGGTGCACGGTAAATACAGCTTAAAAAAATAAAGTAAAATATGGAATCGATGTGTTTTTTCTAAAACTTCGAAATCCGTTGGCGGAGAGTAAAAATTTTGCACCGTTTTTTTGTTATTAACAATTAAAGATTCGATTTGTAGTACAAATTCGGATCTGAGTGACCGTATTTGCAATAATCCGCGACCAGACGACTGCAATAATCGGCACATCACATGCAAATACGGTCACTCAGACCCGAATTTGTACTACAAATCGAATCTTTAATTGTTAATAACAAAAAAACGGTGCAAAATTTTTACTCTCCGCCAACGGATTTCGAAGTTTTAGAAAAAAACACATCGATTCCATATATTACTTTATTTTTTTAAGCTGTAGTTACCGTGCACCGCACTTGTAAACAATTACCTTATAAATAAGAATTATCATCGATTCGGTAATTCACGCGGTCATCCCTGACAACCAGTGCTGAAAACGTCTCACTGTCGTCATTAGTTTCTGGACTCGTCTCGTGTATTTTTGTCCGCGGATCTTTTGACTTAAAATGCACCTGCTGAGGCAACTTCGCCAGCTGAATGGCCTCCGAGGACTTCGACAGGCCACCTGCCAGGTTTCCTCCGCGCCCACCAAACCTGCCGCCCTGCAGTACGAGCGGGATCCTCAACCACTGTTCACGGATGCCGAAACTCAGCGGTTGCTCCAGTCCATGACGCAACTCAACTTGGACAAGGTTTATCGAAAGCGCACGGTTCCGGACAACAGCACCGAAACCAAGTTCATGACCAACGAGGAGCTGGACAGCGAATTTCAGGACATGGTGGTGCGGGCACAACACATGCTCCAAATGCCGCCAATAGTGGAGGTCAAAAAGGATGTGGAGCGCGTCATAGCCAAGGATCCGGCACTCAAAGATTTCGCCAGCACCAAATACGTGTTCACGGACATCACCTTCGGCCGGCGACAGTCGGAGAGAAAGGTCTTTGTCCGGGAAACGGACGGAACTCTGGCCTACGCCTCGCTGGACACAACAAAGCGGATGAATCAGTTGTATTTTCCGCTGGAGGGTCGCCAGTCGTATACTCCTCGCATGTTTGCCTTGGAGGAGCTGCTGTCGAAGTGTTTGGCAGAGCACAAGTATGAGTTCATCCTAGACCGCCTCCTGGTGCAGTATGAGCCGCATGAGCCCGAGTTCCACAACATTTCGGCGCGAGTATTTGAGCATCTTAATGAATCTAAGCAGTTTGATCTTCTGCGCTCCACCCGGCACTTCGGACCAATGGCCTTTTTCTATGCCTGGCATCGCTGCATCGACGATCTGCTGTACGATATGATCCGTCGGGATTACTTGCACAATGCCGTGGAGTTGATAGCCTTGAGCTACAAGGTACATAAAATCCCAGTGGAATATCAAACCACATTGGATGAGTTGAACAAACTGCATCCCACGCCGGCGCAAAGCGCTTTAACGGAGCTGAGGAGTGTCTTCCGGCGTCCAGAGGATAAGGAGGGCATCGAGCAAGAGATCCACACAGCCATTGGCAAAACAGAGAAGGACTTCGCCGCCGATGAGATCAGCTTGAAGTTCATCGAGCAGTACATAGCCAGTGAACACTCGCTGAAAAAGGTTCAACTGGAGCTGGCGGTGCAGACACTTAAGGAAGTCAACCGAGAGAAACTCCTGCTGTTCCAGGGATTGAAAAAGGCCCACGGCGTGCAGGCGTCGTAGGACCTACTTGGTTTATTGTTATCGATCTTTATTAAATACTAATAAATACCAATTTGTATAAGCTATTTCTTAAAAAGGGTCTTGGCTGAGTGTTGAAGATAGGCAAGGATGCACTTCCTCCGGTGCCGCAGGCATACCCTCTCGCTGCTAAAACGCTTTAAACAAACTGAGCAACGGCTCGGGTTTGATCTGCTCTTGGGTAAGCCGTTATGTTGTCCGAAGAGCGTGAGCACTTTGGCCTTTGAACATTTCTGCTCCTGCTTACGGTGGATTATAAAGGAGGTGATTGACTTAAAAAATTGTCTGCACTGGAGACATCTATAGCATTTTCTTCCGTTGTGATACGTCATGTGCTGGAGCAACTCCATCTCCGAGCGACTCGTGGCGTTGCACAGCGGATGGGGGCATTTAAATAGCATGGAGTGCTTCCGTGGCGCCAGAGCGGGACAACTAAGCTTGTGGCGCATCATGAGATTTTCGTGGTCCAGCTTCTGACCGCAACTAAAGCACAGAGCACTAGGCCCAAAGTGCACAGTCATGTGGGCCTGGTGTTCCAACAAGGTGTTACCTATGTCCCCGCAGATCTGGCACTCCAACATTCCGTTGGGAAACATGCTGGTGTTCTCACTGACAAAGTTAAGAAAACGGGCATCATCGCTGGCTGAATTTGGTTCCGCCGCTTTATTCTTCGGCTGATCCTCCGGGAGATTCCACTCCACCGAGTCCCGTCGACACTGAATGCCCACGTCTTTGTAGGCCCGCTCCACCGTTTGGATGGCTCGGTCGCGGCTAGGGGCTGATGTTTCGCTCGTAAACTCCCCTGTGGTTTCATTGAGTTTTTCCTGGATTACGGGTCTTGCGGGAACCTCCGGAGTCCCACCATTCGTCAAGGAATTATGGACTCCATTTACCGGCAGATCGTTCTCCATGGCGAACCTTCTGGTCACCAACTTGGTCTCCACGCACACGTATTCCGGCAATTCGTAGATAGGCAATGATATGGGCGCGATTATGCGGACGGGGGCTTGGCGAGGATTGCTGCCAGCGGATACCGTTCTGCCGGCTGGTGTTATCTTTGCCGGGATTCCAGGATACATTTTCCCCATTCAAATATAGGAAGCTTATAAACAGCTCTCTCCTGGAATACACATATTAATTAATTCGCCAAATTTATCAATTAGTTAAAAAAATTACACCGTAACGCGTTTTTTGCTGAAAAAATAAATTTGTGTTGTCTTCAGTACTGCTGTGTCAGCTATTTTCCCGCCAGGTCTATTGGATTTGCACAACAGGTTTCAGTGTTAAGAAATAACAAATTGTACAAAAAATGGTCATTCACAATCTGCGACGACAGAGCGCGAAATTTAAAAAATAAAGTTAAATTTTGTTTGTAACTTAATGAGTATTTTTTATCACAAATTACAGCATTTGAGTTTACGTTGAAATTTATTTATTGAATTATTAAGGTACAAAAAATATGCAAACTGAGGTAGAAGTGGTAGCAAAACCGTCAATTTTTGTTCTTTTCCTTGTCTTTGATGGTGTACTTATCGTAGGACTTTGTGGGATCGTATGGCTCCCAGCGGCTAGCGGGGAATATGTGCTTGTTACGTTCGTACCAGGAGCGAAGGAGAACCTTGCCGGCATGGGACTCCTCCTTTTCCACGGACGCGTCGCTGATCATGCGCACATCGTCGTGGACATCGAATTGGAACAGTGGGCCCGACTTGCCTCGCGCCTTGGTCACGATGAAGTCGTAGAAGGAGTAGTGATGCGGCAGGATCAGATCCTCCTTGACGTACATCAGTTGGTCGGCCATCACGGTCTTCAGTTCGATGAACTCCTTGCGCAGCAGTTCCAGGCACTTTTGCAGAAACTGGTAGATGGAGTTGCCCTTCTTCATCAGCACATTGCGTCGATGGCCGGAGCCATCCCAGTAACTGAAGGTGATAGAGATGTCCTCGTCCTTGAGCTCCGCCTGCTGCATGACCCATTCCTGGCGCAGTTGCTCCCGCAGACGGTTCTCCTGCTCCTCGCGCTCGCGGTCTGGCAGAAAGGAGGTGTCCACATCGGGATTTTTGCATATTTTCTTTTTCTTAATGGGAACAATCTCGTTCTTCATCTCCGTCCATTTCGGTTTAACTTTAGGCTTCTCCTCTGGTTTTATATTGAGCTCTTCTTCCTCCTGGTCTCCATCCTCTTCCTCGTCTTCGTCCAAATTGAAGGACAGCGCCTGAATCTGTCGCTTCTGCTTGTTTTTCTCCGCCTGAATGGCCTCCAAGGCGCGCTGCTTCTCCCGATCCTTTTCGTCCTTTTTCTGTGCCAGTTTTTTCTCTCGTTCCCGGACTATATCCTCCTGCTTGGCCTTCATCTCGTCCAGGGTGACCAAGCCAATGGTCGAGGACTTAAGCTGCTGCTCCACGGCATCGTAGTGCGTGGCGAACTTGTTCTCAATCTTGTCCAGCTTCAACTCCTCCTCGATCCTTTTCTTGCGGAACTCGATCTCCTGCTGCTGGATCTCGCGCTTCTTCATCAGCTGGGCGGCACGGCCCGCCTCGCTGGCGGCACCTTTGTAGTGGGCCATCCTGGCTTATTTCTTTAATATTTAATAAATATTTACTTCGACTTCCAAGTAAAATTTGTAAACATAAAATTAGTGTAGCAGTAGTGCCAACATAAAATAAGGCCAAAGTTATGAGCTGCCAGACTTGTTTACCTAATTGTTAATAGCGCTGCCACATCTGCAGATTTTTAAAACTTGATTTCACATCAACTACCTTTTATCAGTTAGCATTCCGGTCGGTTACTTTTCGATTTGAAGAAAAGCTTTAAACGCTCGTCCTTTAAAGTCCTTCCGAAGAGCTTCCATCTGCGTAGCACATTATTTGTGTTTGGGCCAAGCCGTTGGTCGTTTCAGTTACATCGGAACTTTCAAACCCATTGGTTATTGAACGCGCGCATTCAGAACCGTTGCGAAAGTGTTAAAGAAGTTTTTGAACCCGAAAACAGCAGTTAAATGGCTTGAATGAAGTTTAAAGTGTTATTGAGCAACGGATCGAAGTGTTTGGAGCTGTGGCGGAAAAATGGTTAAGAATTGTGCCGAACAGGGCCTGCAAATGTGAACCAGCGAGCGTGTTAGACCAACGGAAATGTTGGCAAGGACATTACGGACAAAGAATTGTGCCAATTGGCAGAGCCAGAATTAGAAGAAGAAGAAGAAGAGGGAGAAGAAAAAGAAGAAGAAGAAACAGATGGTGGGAGGGCCAAGTGGCGGAAACGGAAGTGCCAAATTGAAATGCCATTTAAGCCAGCGGACGAGCGATTTGCCCGACTTCGTTTACGGCCCATTCGAATCCGTCTGGTCAGGGAAACACTCAGATTTCTTTGGGGGGAGTCTGGTTGGGGAATCTGGTTGGGAGACGAGATGGTCTAGGATCCCCAGACGACACTTGGCGTCTGCGTTAGCGCTCCCCGCTCGTGGCATTGATTATATTCATGAGGCCAAGTCATAAATTCCAGCCCGACTGCCTGTTTACGAGGATGCTGCGTCCCCCCGATCTCCAGTTCTTGTTCGCCCCCTGAAAATGTTGCCAAGTCGCGAGCGGAGTGGCAATAAAATCATTAACTGTTGCAGCGCATTAAATTCATGGCCCAGACGATGCTGCCGTTACTCGGGGCAGCAAACATTGTCATAAAACCTCGAGCCAACCGTTCACGCCATATTTCATCTCGACTCGCCTACCAATCCTCCAGCCCACCTCCTCATATCCTAATTGCCGAAGGTCCTGACTCCCGAGGGCGTGTGAAAAACTATTAAAAGGCCGTTGGGCCAAGCATTCTGCGCCGTAATTAATGGCGACAATGACTTGATCGGCCGATAATTAATTTATCGGTATTTATATTGCCAAACCCACACACGCAAACGCACACACACACATGTGCTCACCGGAGGACGCTTGTCCGTCCCACGGGAGCTCGTAAATTGTCCAGAAGTTCAGATTCGGATGCGGATTCCGATTCGGATAAGGACTCCTCCCAGTCCGCCCCAGTAATTGACTTTAATTCCTGGGCCAGCATAAGACTAGCGAAAGTTTTTCCCTGGAAACCCAACTAAAACCAACCAAGTTTCAGTTTGTTCTATTGTATTATCTTGACTTTGGCCCGCACATGTTCCCCCGCCCCCTTTCGCATAGTTTTCGCCACAAATTAGTTTGGCAGTGGATTTTGCCGGCCACTCGGATACTGAGCATTTGCATTCCATTCTACGAAAATTTCCCCCATTTTTGGCAAACTATTTTCGTGCTGAAAGTTGCCAGAAAAGTTTTTCGGTTGCGACAAAGAAATCAATTGGATATGATTGAAACCTAATTTCCCAAATGGACTGAATAAATAAATCAATAATTAGGTGTTTTTTAAGGTGGGCATCGAGGGACTCACCTGACTCATTAGGGAGAATACAATACATTTTAGGGTTCATTTTATCGATCCATCTGATTTTTGACTAATGGAATGCTCCTCCATCAAAATACATTTATTTATGTGCTTTTATTGTTTATTAATTGCGTTATAATTGGAAGTTTTATTGTTGTATTTCGATTAGGGAATGCCAACCCAGATTTAGTCACTGATAAGCTGTCTTTGATCAACACATTTGTTTAATTCAATAAAATGATTTATTCCATAAATTTACACAAGCTTATACCTCGAATTTATGTGTGCTCAAATTGTAAATCTCCCCTATGCAATCAATACTAAAGCAGAAAAAATAAACATGTTCGCTTCAGTGAACCGCAGTGAACTGTTAAGAGCAGTAAAACTGTGCTGATATGAAGCTTTATATATCTGTGATAGATGTCGCACCAGTTTGTCCTTTCCAATCGCCTCGATTAGCATTTTACGTTTTAACCCTCTCTCCGGAATATTAATGCAAAAATACGCGAATTTCAATGGAGCCCTCTAAATCTCGTTTTGTTTGATTCCTCAGGGTCTTTTTTTTTTGTCTGACATAGTAAAACATACTTTTCTGGCTTTATCCTCTCACTTTTTGTGGTCCTAAGTCGCCGTCCTTGTCTTGATTTTGGAAATTGTTTTTACCCACATTTCATTTGTTCGCAAAACTTTCTGCATTGCGCGGGAAATGGAAAGCAGAAAAAAATTGACACAATTTAAACTTTTCTATAAACAAAAGCAATGCAGAGCAGCCAAACAGAAAAGGTTAGCCAAACGAGCCATTTGTTCCTTCTGCTGTTTACTTTCCTTCTTGCCCAATTTTCCTCTCCCTTTTTTAGCTGCGTTGGTTTTCGGTTTTTCCTTTTTTTTGACATTGCCAGTTTATTACAACATACACAACCAAACACGCTGGCGGGTTTTTGAAATTTGTCAAAAGGGAAAGGCAGCCCAATTCGTTTCATCCTTTATTTTTCCGCTGTTGGTTTCTCAATTTCGTTTAAATTGCGAACATTTGAAACAATTTGCCATCAGAACGGCGCCCACACATGCATTTTTTTACACCACACTGCATTCTGCGGCTTGGCAGAGATATATGCAGGCTTTTCATATAGCTGACAACATGACGTATGATTAATATCGCCACTTGCTCGCTGGATTGTTATTTTTGCTGCATTTAATTAAATCTGCGTGACTTGATTAAGTGCTCATTTTGCCAGCGAACAAGCCCTTCAAAAGTATAAAATAAATACAAAATGACGACTAGTAGGTACTTTAGTATAAATTTAAATTGCTATTTCTGTGCCGGAGCTCCTTGGCAACTAAGGATAATGTGAATTACCACTAAAAATACAAGCAAGGAGTACTGAAATTATGCCAGGCGTCGGCGACAATGATGTTGTGCTGAAAATGCGTATACTATATACGACATGTCCCAATAAATTTGTGCATTTCATGACAATGACGTCGCACGACGCTGCGTTCGAGAATCCGGACTATATATATGGTATATGGGCTGTATGGGTATGGGCTTCTGCCTGGTTGACATTCCTTGCCCTTTATGTTGTGCCATATGTGCGAAAATGCCAACGTTCATTGCAATGCAATTAATAAAGATTGCAGCAGATGCCCAACTTCTGGTCTATATTAAAATATATATAAAATTAAAGAGGATAAAATATTTTTGATATATTTTTAGCAACTTAAAATTGAATATTCTTGTTTAATTAGAATTCAGATGTAGTAATAGGTCTGAATTTATTTAAAGTATTAGGGATGTTTATTCTGCCCGTTTGTTTATATTTACATACCTTATTTTCGAATGTTTCGATGCCTTTTTATAAAAAAAGCAATGTTTAAACTATCCAAGCATTGAAAGATGTTTCTCAACTTTTTTGTTTGTATTACTCTTTGAGAAGGAACTTTCAAGGCTTCATTTTAATTGATACAAACGGTTATTTGCATTCCATTTTTTCTACTCCTCAATTTCACTTTCAATTTATATTCATAGCCCGTTTGAGTTCTTTTATTCATTTCTGGTTTTTGTGCAATATAGCTTGCGTATGCCAATTAGAGTGACATTTTGTTGTGCCTTCGTTTTGTTGTGGTTCGTTTTAATTATACATTTCGCTTTTAATTAACGCTGCTAATTAAAGGTGGTCGGAAAGCGAAACAATTTTCAAATTCTCACAATTTCCGGCTTAGATATTTGCAGTTGTGGAACGAAGGAGCCAAAGCTGCTTCAGGTATAATCATTATACCAACCCCCCTCCTCGGTCTATTAGTATGATATCCTTGGGGCTTATCGCAGTCCTATTACCAATTCTGTTGGTCTGTCTGCTCCACTTTTATGCTTGATTAATGCCCGAGATGTGCATTGGATTGCGCTGGGATCTCCGGCTAAGACAATGGCAGGAACATGGAATACGTAGCATGGATGGAGCACGGAACACGGAGCACATTGATTTGTGCCACCTGGCTGGGGAATGGCCTCGGAGTAGCCCAGCGGAGACGCATCGTAAATCATGAATGTAAAAGTCGTGCTGGCGGCAGCTTGCCTCCCGGAATTTTTTCCCGGACTCTCCTCGGCTCTTTATCCCCGCCACCGTCAATCCGGCGATTACCGAACTGCCGGTAGCGATTTTATGGCTCTCATTCCGCTTTGGCCAAAGAAAGTTTTTACCTTCGATTCGTTTGCTATTCGTTATTGGTTACAATAGGAAGTTGGCTGGCTTTATAGGCAAATCTTCCAATGGCAAAAGGTGTTGGAAAAGTTTGCTCTCCCTCCTTATCCGCACGCTCCTCGCCATCATTATTATTGTTCCGCTTGCTTTTTATACACGTACAACAACGGAAACATTCATTCACGCGAACTAATGAAGTGTCAAAAATGGGCGCCCCGAAAAGTGTGCTACGCTTTTTCTTGTTAAAAATATTTCACAGTCGAGCGAGAGTGTGTGTGTGTGTTTGTGTGATGGTGGTGGTGTGGGCGTGTGGAGACCTGTGACCTTGGACTATAACTATGAGTGAGTGCCGACTAAAATAGCTCTATAATGTCGAGGCGGGCGGTCCATAAGTATGTGTGCGTTTGTTTGTGTGCAAATGTTTGCAGTTGAAGGCAAAGCGCGAGCAAACAAAAAGCAATTCTGATATGGATGGTACTTAAAGTCTGTCCAGTTATGCCCTATATTATACATATACGCTATATGTGTAAATAAACCCCAAACA